TTTCTACCCCGAAGTGACAGCTGGGGCGGACCCCAGCCCGCGCACCGACCCTGCGCCTCTTGGCCGGGGTGCACAGCTGTTAGCACGCCGGTCTTTCCCCGGCGCCTTTTGTTGTCTGTATTTGTCATCAGTTACCCTTGCAGTCAAGGGTTTAAACACCGAGGTTTTCATTATTCTCGGAATATTGTAAAAGGGGTGGGGGAGAAGCAGCGTGGCGGAGTAGCAGGGTGTGCGTAACTGGATCAGCGGCGCCTTTGCCGAAACGGTTTAAAACTTGGAGCCTCCGGGACCTGACCCGGTCTTGCCCAGCGGGTAGCGCTTGGAACGGTAGCATTTTTTGGTCTCTACCCTCTTGTTTCTTAAAATTCACGCGGACACCAAGCATCTGCAGAGTAATATGTGCCACGTTAGTTTAGATAAACCAAGGGTGGGTGGGGTGTTACAAAAATCTTCATTGCAGGTTGGACTATGTGCCCAGAGCTTTTCAAAGTTGCTGCTTTCCCCTCGCAGGTGTTTGCTGTTCGATCTGGCGGAGCTACTGGGGTGGTCGTTAAAGGCCCAGATGACAGGAATCCCATCTCATTTAGGTAACTATTGCCGTTTTCAGAACACTTCACTATGTAGACAAAATGGTGTTTTTTAGTTTCTCATTCAGAAGAATGTCTTAAATGTCTTCTAAGTGTGTTGGAGGGCGGGGCGGGTAACATCCCTGTCTGGAGGAAGAGGTGTTGTCTTGGTGGCACCGTCTACTATTTCCTTTAAGAGTGAATACGTGGAGTTCCCTGTGGTTTTAGGATCCAAATACTCCAAAGTAGGGCACCTACTTCCTGGTACTTGAAATGAGCTCGTGCGTTGACGTGCCTATTTACGGTTTCTTGACAGAGGAGGGCCTTCATTTCCTCATTTGGCCCAGGGTCTTTTCAGAGTTATCCAAAGGTGGATGCGATTCCTAGGTCAGTGTTTCCCTTGTAATAATGTATATTAAAATCCCAGCTTCCACTGTACTTAAGGGGACTGGATGTCCCCGATTATGCATGTTGAACCATTGTAGTTCTGAATAGCAGACCCTTTCACTTTCAGAAATATCTAGATTTGTGATTACAGAAAGGGAAAGTACAGTGTGGGCCCTCAATTCAGTGGTGACTTTAGGAACATTTGACAGTTGGCCTGTGTGAATAGGAAACAATTTTTGAAGTAGAAAATGAATGTGTCTCTATTTCTTAGATCGTCATTTGTTTGGTAAACACTGACTGCAGCCTCTGTGCTGGGCACCAGGCATGTGAGGGCTTTGAGTTAGCCTGGCCCCCTTTTGGAAAACTATGTTCAGTGTAGGGGAGAGGTGGGTGGACACATACAGTTACTGTGGTTGGTGCCGGAATCTCGCTCTTCGGAGTGTTCAGAATGTGGCCACGCAGAAGAGATGTGGCATTTATCTTGGGATGGGCTGGAGAAGACCACTGCCTGGGAGGTTTTTTCAAGTCTTTGAGCAAGACATGAAAGGGAGGATTCCAGGTGGAGAAGAGAAGAGGCTTCCTGATGGAGCGGACGAGTAAGAAGGCTAAAGAGCTTGGTGCCAGGGGACTCCCAGTCTGCGTAACTGAAGATCAGGTTTCCTGTGGGGAAGCGGGTGGTGTGGCCATTGGCAGCTTTTGACTTGAACCCTATATATTCAGCTGTGGAATTAGGGCCTTACCTCATTACTGAAGATAAAGGTGGGGCGTGGCATGATGAGATCAGCGTTTGGAAAGAGCACGTTGTTGCAGATTTGAAGCTTAATTAGTTGGGAGCGGATCAGAGTCAGCCAATTAAGAGCCGATTGCTGTAGTCTGAGCAGGCGCAGTGCAGACCAGCCCGAAGGCAGTGTAGACTGGCATCAAATAGGCACTCAGGTGCTTAGAAATATCTGTGGGTAAGACTCCTTGGTCTCTTGGGTGTGGAAAGTGAGTGAGGCCGTAATGATTCAGATTGGGGGGCTCAGGAAGGCTTGAGGGGGGAGATGCTGAATTTACCATCTTTGAAATATCTGTTTTTAATAGCTTTAATGTGGTTTAATTATTATTAACTGCATATATTT